GGATCGTCCTCTTGCAAAAAGACATGCCCGACGTGACGCCAGTTCGACCCGCAAAGCCAAAGGGAAAACAGATGTAGTAAAAGAAGGTGATGGCGCAGAGGGCGAGAAGCAGCAGCGGGGCGACAAAACAGGGGTACGAATCGCATTCGCACGGGCGCCCTGGGATGAGAGGACACGTGCGCTCTCTGTAGAGCAGGGCTATCTCGCGCGCGTGCAACGCCCCAGGAGAGGAGCGAGAACGGAGAGGGAGGGAGAAGGGAGAGAATGGAGGAGGGAGGGGGAATGGGGAAGGGCAGGAGGGAGAGGGAGGACGAACGGGGAGGAGCAGGGGGGCGAATGGAGGAGGAGAAGGAGGGAGAATGGCGGAAGAATGGGAGGGAGCAGGAGGAGGACCAGGGAGGGGGAACGAAGAAGAATGGTGGGTAGATGGTGGGTGGGGGGGCAAGGATTGGGGAGGGCGATGAATAGAAATGGCGACGACGATGACGACGACGGCGACGGCGACGGCGACGACGATGCTGACGACGAGGACGATGACGGCGACGACGAGCGAGACAGGGCAGCGGCTGGGTGGGCAGGCCGAGAAGACGTCGTTGTACAGCAGGCCGCAGTACATGGCGAACAGGCCCATCATCAGCACCATGTACCTTGTCTGCTGGGGAGCTCTCCTGCTCCGCCTCCACCTCCTCATTCCAACCGTCCCCCTTTCCGCCCTCGTCCTGCTCATCCTTCTCCGTCATATTCCTCCTCACCCTTCCTCCCCCCCCTCTCCTCCGTCCTGCTCCCCTTCCCGCGCGTTCTCTGTGTCCTTCTCCCTCATCCTTCCCCCTCCCTCCACCCTCGCCCTCCTCGTCCACCCGCCTCCACATCCTGCTCCTCCCTCCGCAAGAGTCCGTCAGACGCATCCCTCCTCCTCCTACTGTTCCTATTTCTCCTGCTCCCTTCTCTTTCCGATCCTCCTCCTCCTTGCACCCCTCTCCCCCTCCTCCATCTTCCATCTCCCTTCTGCCTCCTCACTCATTTGCCGCCATGGTGCCACAGGCACTGAATGTAGAGCCCCGAAGTCCCCAATTCAGGGAGACGTGTGACTCGGGTTCGGGGGACTCGGTTTGGCCTGATGGGGCCATCAAGAAAATGACGAGACTAGCTCCCGCTGCGCATGTAAAAAAAACAAGCTCCGAACTCACTGGATCTCTGGGCGCGCTTGGCATTCGTCGCGCCCACCAGCACCAGTCCATCACGCCAAGGAGTTGTTTTTCCAGACGGTTGAGATATGATCGCATGTCGGTATGGCATGAACTTCCACGATGGTCCAGGAAGCCCCTAAAACCACACAAAGACGACTCCTGAGGCTTCCAAGAGAGGCTCAGCATGCCCCCAGGACGGCCCCGAGCGGAGCTCCGTAATAGCTGCGCACCCATGAGGACCTAGGGGCAACCACTGGTGGCCATGACCATTGGCAATCAAACGCTACACCAAAAAAATCATCAGACCGCGCGAATTTCTGGCATCGGCGTCGAGCTCCCCTCACGGGCGCGCGCGCGCGCACCACGCGCAAGGAAGGTGATGCAAGAAATCCGCGCGGACCTGCGAGCGCTTACAGTCATCGGCCTGACCTAAGGAACGATCAATAAGGAACGAAGCCCCTTTTTCATCCCAAGGAATAACGCATAAGGAACGATGAATAGCAACTAACGCATAAGGAACTGTAAATAACGCATGCAAACCTAAGGAACGACCGAGCCCCTTTTGAAAAGTAAGTGTTCCTTATTCAAGCCGCTCACTGTATGTGTATGCCAGCTTGTTTTCATCGATGGCGGCCCCATGGCCGTTGACAGTCCACCGGCCAAGCGGTCACCCGACTTCGCGCATGCCGCCCCGCGATGCCCAATCCTCCTCGCGCCCTCGCACCGCCGCCTCGGAGGAGGGGCAGCCACTCCTGCCCAGACCTCGACTAGGGGCTCACCTACAGAATTGATTACGCCAAAATTAATCTCCCCGCCGAGTATACAAGAAGCGTGTATACTGCTCGGAGATCTACGGGGCATTCTGCGTATGTGTTCGTAGATTCGGCGGGGAAAAAAAACGATGCTGGGGCAAATCAATTCTGTAGTCGATCCTCTGCAGTGGGGGCCCGACCAAAGGAAACCTTCCACAAGAAACCCAACCCTGAGACCCCAGGACTTCCACCGATTCCTGGTGTGGGAACGCCACGCCTTCCACAGCAAAACCATCGACACCCAAGCAACCCAGGCGAGCGTTCTCTGATTCAGCGCTTCGACATCGGGCGGAGAAGGGGGGGGGAAGGGGGGGGGGTCTGGCTCCGGACCCCTGCCTAGTGCGACTGTTTGTACCAGTGCGTCCTGCGGGGGAGGCTCCGCCTGCTCGAAGCAGGATGAGGAGGAGGGGGCGGAGGAAGAGGAGGAGGAGGAGGAAGAGGAGGAGGAGGGGGAGGAGGAGGAGGAGGAGGAGGAGGAGGGCCAGATCTACTCCATGGAGGGAGGGGAGGGGGGGGGGAGCGAGGGTCCGCGCCGATCGGCAAAACAAGGAATAACAAAAATCACCAGGGACACCCGGGAGGCAAGCAGAGTGCTTCTCGGCATGGGCCCCCCCACTCCCAGTCGAAGACCGCGGCGCGCGCGGCGCGGCGACTCCCCCCCGCGCCCCCAGCGGGGCGATCTGGACCTGGACCGCCCGCCCGCGCCCACGCAGGGCACCCCCTGGGGGGAACTCCTTCGGGCCCGGAGGGGGTCTCTCGGCAGCCTTCTCGGGCACGCCGGGGGCCCCACGGCCGTCCCACTGTCCGCCCATCATCTCGCCAGCCTTGTGCCTCTGCTCCCTGAAGAAGACAAGAGCCGCCAGAAACATAGAAGCTTTTGGCGCTCCGCGCGGACTTCTTGGATCTGCGCTGGGACGCCCACTCCCTGGCGCGCGGAGCGAGCCAGGGGCGGCGCTGGAGGCGCCGCCGGGGAGTCCCAGCGCAGATCTAAGAACTCCGCGAGAAGCGCCAAAAGTTCATGCTTATGGCGTTTTGTCTTCTTCGACCTCCCCTGGGGGTGCCAGCTCTGCTCGTCCAATTCATCCACAGGGGGGCGCTGCACACAGAACGAAGCTTAGGTCGGGCGTGTCCCCCTACAGGGGATTTTGGGCGAACATTTCGGAATACCCCTATGAAATGCACCAACATAGTAAAACAAATACTTTGCAAAGAAATCCCCAGACTAGTTCTGGACTATTTTTGAATACTCCTCCTGTAATAGGGACACGCCCGACTTAAATAATAATCCACAAGGGGGCGCTGCAGTCAGAACGAAAAGCCCCTCTCTGGGCCCCCCCCCGCGGGCCCTCCCCGGCGAGCGACTGGGCGCACGCGGAGCGCCGGCCCGACCAAGTCTACCCAGAGATGGTTTTGAGGGCCTTTTTTCGACACCCCTCACGAGGATCGTGGCCTCCGAGGGGGGTGCACTCGACTACCCCGCCCCAAGAGGCTCCCAAGAGCCCCCCAAGAGGCCCAAGGGGGCCCCAAGACGCCGCCAAGGAGCCTCAAGAGACCCCCAAGAGGCCCCCAAGAGGCCCCTAGGAGGCCCCAAAGAGGCCCACAAGAGTTTGGACGCCCGAAATGGGTACTGAAACAATGGGCACAATGCCCAACAACAATTGTTGTCCCAAACCAACAGCGGCCGCTGTTGGGCAGGCGGCCTTCTGTCTCGAACGGACACAGGCCGCGGCGGCGCGGACAGCGAATCCTGTTCAGTTGAGCATTGTACCAATTCTTTCCGTGCCCATCTCGTTCGTGCAGAAAGAGGCTTCAAAGAGGCCCCATAGAGCGCTCGAGGGCCGGCGGAATGAGCGAAGCGATTAAATAATCCACAAGGAGGCGCTGCACTCAGGTCGAAAATCCCCTCTCTGGGCCCCCCCTTCGCGAGCGCCTGGGCGCACGCGGAGCGCCGGAAGAGGGGCCGTGGACGGGCCGGAAGAACAGCGAGCCCCTTCCAGACCCCGATCTGCTCCGCATTCGGCGGTGGACAAACCTCCCTTCAAAAGACCTCCCCTTAGTGAAAACGGCCTGGGACCGAAACCGACGGACCTGGACCCGCAAAAATGACGGCCGCGACGCCCTCTCGCGAACCGAAAACGGCCAACTCCTGAATCGACGTGTCAGGGCAGGAGGTCTGTCCACCCCCGACCCTTCTAGACCCCGATCTGCTCCGAATCTCCGCGTCCTCACGGTACCGAGTCCCTCTGACGAGAGTGAGGTCGGGCGTGTCCCCCTGCGGGCGGATATATTGGACGAAGAATGAAAAAGAGGCACCACAAATACCCCAAAATGGTCGAAAAGAGTCCAACAACCGTCCCTGTATCAGTTTCTGACTATTTTTGAATATTCCTCCTGCAGAGGGACAGGACCGACTTCTGATTAGAGGGCAGAACATCCGCCCCGATAATAACCACCCCGACACGCGAAGCCGTATCGTAAACGCGCCCAAAGAAGGAATCGAACAGGGCAGGGCCGTTCAATAAACGCCCAGGGCCGTTTGGTAAGCGCCAATTGTCCGGTCCAGGTGGTTTTTCCTCCCATGACTGATGCCCCCTGCTTCGTCGCCGCCGCCGCCGCTGCCGCCTCTGCCTCCGCATCTTCCCCGTCTGCCGCTGGACTGGCGCGTGCAGAGGAAACTCCCCCCAGGCGGGGCCCACCGGATGTAGTAGAGCGTAGGCATGGAGAACTTGAGCTCGTCCGCCTTCCACACCGCGTAAGCGCCAACCTGCACCGAAGCTCTGGGCAGCAGCAAGCACCGAGGCTCGGATGCTAGAGGCGAGAAGGGCGTGAGCTGGAGATGGAGATGGGCGGAGGGGGGAGCAAGGCAGTTCTGCCCACGTGCACGTACATGCGAAGCTGCAAAAGCACACGTTCATAGACGTGAGGCCTCACTCACAGAGCTACAAGTTACCCCGTGATCACTCAACCTCTGCAGGGAAGACAATTCCTGCAGGCACCAGACTCAGAAGTCCTCATCGTCGATGCGTCGCTTCTTTGGCTCCCCGTGCCTCTGGTCGTCGTCGCCATCGTCCGACGAGCGGTCCCTCTTCTTTTTCTTGTCCTTTTTATCTTTCTTATCCTTCTTGTCTTTCTTCTCCTTCCTACCGCCCATCATGGCCTGCATCATCGCCTGGTACTGCTGTGGGTCCATGCCTGAAGGAAGAAGCCAACTGCACAAGCACACACTTTCAGAGGTCCGCCCCGATTCCTTGGATCGGCGCCGGATCCTGCTCTCCCGGCGGCGCCTCCAGCGCCGCCCCTGGCGCGTTCTGCGCGCCAGGGATTGGGACGCCCGACATCGTTTCGCGCGCCAGGGATGGGTACGATGCCCAACAAGAGAAGTTGTCCAACACCGAGGACGGCCGCTGTTGGGCAGGCGGCCTCTCGTCTCAAATGGACAACGCCCGCGGCTGCACAGGCAGCGAGCCCTTGTCAGAGTGGACAAGGCATTCCGTCGGCCTGCATACCCGAGCTCGCCGTGCCCACTTCGACCGTCCCGAAGGGGGGGGGGGAGGGTCGGGCCCCGGCGCCGATGCGAGGAGAGCTCGCGGACCTCCGAGCGTGTCCGCAATTGCGTGTGCGGCTTGGCAATTTAATCCTCCCAAGGGGGCCGGGCGGCATGCCGAACGGCGGCATGCCCGGCGGCATGCCGGGCATGCCGGGCATCCCGGGCGGCCCGCCGGGCCCGCCCATCATCATCGGCGGCATGCCGGGGGGCCCGCCCATCTGCGGCGCGGGGGGCGGCGGCAGCGGCGGCGGCCGGCCCGAGGGCTCGCCGCCGCCCCAGGAGGGCGCGCCGTCGCCGCCCCCGAAGTCGCCGCCCGAGGGGAAGGGCGGCGGCGGGAGGCCCATGCTCGGGGGCGGGCCGGGGGCGGGCAGCGCGCCCATCTGGACGCGGACGTGGGAGGCGCGCAGCTGCCCGTCGGGCAGCTTGTAGAGCTCCGCCTCGACCTCCTTGCCCTCCATCTCCTCGCGGGGCCGCGCGCGGGGGGTGGGGGGGGCGCCGGAGGGCCCCCTTGGCCCAGATCACGGGATGCAGGCGGGTTTCCGTCGCGAGCGGTGGCGGCCGATCCCAGAATCGGTCGCGACCAGTCGCCACGGATCGCGACCGGTTTTCAAGCAAGTCGGTCGCGACGGATACCAAAATTTGAAGCAGAAACGGTTGCGACCGATCTCGTCGGTCGCGACCGGAAAATTCCAGTGTCCAGTCATCAAGGGGAGGCGGGGGGGGGGCCTGATGCATCCGGGCCCATGGCACAGTGGTCTTCTCTCCATCGCTGCAGTCTCTTCCGTTGCGGCCTCCAGGGGCCCATCGGCTCCATGGGCCATCAGGGAAGGATCCACGGCGAGGAACGGGTCTGCGGGGAGCGAGGGAGATCGACCCGCCAGGAGCCTGCGTTGGGAGAAGTGGGGGCGGGAAGGGGGCATCCCCTCCGCTGCTGCCCCCCCAACCGCCCTGTCCGCTGGGCTGCCCCCTGGGTTCTCAGCCCGCGATTCCTTGAGTCGCCTGTACTCGTCACGCCCCTCCACCTCCCTGCTAAACCTGGCCTTGTCCGCGAACTGCAGGGTCCGCAAGTTCGTGGGCAGCTCGTACTGGCGCCACATCACCTCACCAGACGCCCTCCCTGACGCGCCGCGGACCCGAGGGGGGGGGCCAAGAGCAGTGCGCAGGGCCTTGGCCAGCAGAGGGCGGGCGTGGGAGGGGGGGGGGGGCAGCGAACGCCGCAGGATCGGCCGCGCGGTCACCACCTCTGGCCAGGCCCGCTCGCTTGCACTCCTCCTGGGCCCCCATGGTCCTTGGCGGGGCAGAGGAGGGCACGGGCCTCGCCCCACTCGGGAGACTTGATGACGCCGTAGCCGGCCATGGACACACGGACCACCGTCCCCCTAATCCTCTGCATGATGGACTCCCCCTTCGAGGCGTTCGTCTTCTTCTCCTCCTCCTCCTGCTGCTTCCGCTGCACCACCCACTTGGGGGGCGTCGCGTGCTTGGCGCCGAGGTGCTTGGTGACGCCAGTGGACGTCTGGATGGGGTGGCCCTTCAGGCGCTCCACGCCAGCGTTCGCGGCCTCCTCGTTCAGACGGATGGGGGCGCAGAGGGAGCGCGCCTCCCCCCACCCCTTCTGGCAGGCCAGAAGGGGGCGAGGGGGAGGACGGGGGCGAGGGCCAGTGGGTGGAGGTGCCCAGACCTCCAGCGTCTTGGACAACAGAGCAGGGCGGAGGTCCCTCCCAATGGGTACTGCCTCCTGGGACACTTGCTGGGCCGTGGCATCACCAACAAGGAGAATGTTCTGGACGGCAAGCCAGCCCCTGGCAAGGGCTCGAGAACCCCGGGGCCCGCGTACTGACAAAAAACAAGGCTTCGGCAGTCCGGGGTGGGGGCAGGTGCGCTCTTCTGCTCTCCAGCTAGCGCAGGATCACCGAGCCCGTGACTGGCGTGGCCTGCCTCGACCCCTTCTCCCCCGCGATGCCGAGCGAGACCTCGGTGAACGGCAGGAACTTGAGACCCATGATGGTGTCCGGGTTTAGGCCGAGCGATCGGTGCAGCTTGCGGATCTCGCCCTCGCTCCACTCGACGGGCACGTCGGAGACGTACACCGACGGATAGATGACCCGGGGCTCGTTCGGGTGCAGGCGCTGTCGCTCCGGGGGCCGCTGCACCGGCCTCTCCTGCACCTCTGAAGGGGCCCAGGGACACACTCAAAGAAAGAGACACAAATCCCAGGATTCCCCACATTTTCCCATATCTTCTGGATTTCTGTCTTCCCCCCTACTTCTCATATTTTCCCACATTTCCCTGGGGATCGACGATTCCTCGTGCCTGTGCTGTTCGCTCCCCTCCTGCACCTCGGGCTGCTGGATCTGCGTCGGCTCCGAGGAGACCTGCACCCGCCTGGCCTGCGCCTTCCCCTGGGCGTTCTCCCAGATCTCAAAGGTCAGCTCGACGCCAGGGTTCACCCGGTTGGGCAGCGAGTGGTTCCCGAAGAACCAGAGGCCCTCGTCCGTGCACGCGGGCAGGGGGGGCCCCTCGGAGTCCTCGCCCTTGAAGACCGGGGAGATGAAGCCGAAGTTCTTCGCCGCGTTGAAGACCTTTCCTCCTCCTCCTCCTCCTCCTCCTCCTCCTCCTCCTCCTCCTCCTCCTCCTCCTCCTCCTCCCCCAAACGGGCAGGGACAACATGCGTGCGGTGCCCAAGAACAGGCGCTGTCTTAAGCCGACAGCGGACGCCGCTGGGCAGGCGGCCTCCTGTCTCAAATGAACAACGTCCGCAACGACGCCAACAGCGAGCCCTGCTCAGAGTGAACAGGAACTGCTGTTGGCCTTAGTGCACTTAGGTCGGGCATGTCCACCTACAGGCGGATTTTGGGGCGACGATCAAATTCTTAAACAACTCCAAAGTATATTCAAACAGTACTCAACACATCGTCCCCAGACTATTTTTTGACAATTTGGGAGTTTTCCTCCTGTAGAGGGCCGTGCCCGACTGAATCATACACATTGATGTCGTGCGGTGGGTTCGTGTCGTGTCGGCCCCGGCTTTGGTCCCGGACACTGCGGAGATCGTTCAACCTTGAACGATCGGCCGGTTCCGAAAAGTCAGATCGCTCATCGGGGGCGTCCAAGAGGGCGGCGCCCACAAGGGGGGGGCGCAAATCATGGCTGGCGGCACGTGCGCAGCCCAGGGGGGGGGGAGGGGCCGTCCTGAAATGAGAAGAGGCGACATGAAATCCGAGGGACATCGTGGCCCTCGCCATGATATCCCCCCCCCCCCTAGTCATCGCCCACCTCTTGGCCGCCCCCGAGCTTAACATCGGGCGATCCTGGGCCACCGGCGACGGTCAGCGTCGAACGCCGGCGGCTGGGTCGCAGCCGCTCGACACGGCGCGAACCTGCCCTAGACCCGTTCTGATCGTGCCGAACCTTCAGCAGCCCCCGGCCGAACGTGACAAAAGCGTCACCGCCCTCCGGCTGCATGAGGCTCCCTGGGGAAACCAAAAAATAGGAAGGCACCAACTATACACCAACACCGATCCTGGCCAGGATCACCCTGGGCCCAGGATCGGTGTATACGCCCTCCTGCCTTGCGCAAGAAGGCATATACACCGATCCTGTGCCCAGGGTGATCCTGGGCCAGGATCGGTGTTGGTGTATAGTTGTGGCCCTCCGAAAAAATACTACTACCGATACCGATGATCACTCCCCGGACCTCTCACGGGGCGCCTTCTGACCCGAATGTCGAGGCGAATCTAGCAGTGGCGACGTAGGCCGCCCAAGGAGGCCCATAAAGGCGACGACGAGGTATGGGCAGCAACATCCGTACCTTCCCAGACGTGCGCTGTCCTCATTGTTTCACTACGGGAACCCCGGAAATCCCGACTCGCTCCCCGGGACGGGCTTTTCACACCGAATCACGCCTGTTCAGGGTCCCGGGGCCCCCAGAAGTCGGAAATGGGGAACAACTCCTTCTGTCGGCGGCGAGGCAGAGGCAGTCCGCACCAACGTGGGACTATGTCAAACGGTTTGAACAAATTACACCAGAGAAAAGCCCCAATCAGTGGATGGATGGTTTCCGCTGAGAATATCGACTTGGAACCCGGGAGCCCAGGAACCCCAAACCCACCGAAATCGGTCCGGAACCAATCATCGGGAACCCGGGAACCCCAAAACCGGGAACCCGGGAACCCAGCCTGCTACCAAAATCGGCTTCCAACTTCCGCTAGGACCCCTTCAAAGCACGCACTGATTTGACTACCTACCAGACCACCCCAACCCAACCCGAAGACCCGAATTTCGGGTTGGGGGGGGTAAGGGTTCCACATGTGTTTTTTCGATGTTTCCCGACCCCCCCCCACTGGAAATCGAGGGTAAATTTGAGCCTTCGGGTTGGGTTGGGGTGGTTCGGTGGGTGGTGATGATCGGGGAATCGAATGGGGAAGAACATACCGCCACTCTCTCTCACGGCGCGACGGGGTCTGGGCCGTGACCTCCTCACGTCCAGCTGCCCTTCTGCCTGCCAGCCCTCCCCGCCCCGGGGCTGCTCCTGCGCGAGCTCCGCACGTGGCACCAGCGGGCCCCCCGAGAAGCGGACAACGACCGGCCCTCCCCCCGCGTCGTGATCTTCTCTGCGACGAGAACACGTCTCGGCGACTCCGCTTTGGACGCCCGAAAGGGGTACCGAAAAAATGGGTACAATGCCCAGCAGCAAATGTTGTCCCAAACCAACAGCGGCCGCTGTTGGGCAGGCGGCCATCTGTCTCAAATGGCCACAGGCCGCGGCGGCGTGGACAGCGGATCCTGTTCAAAATGAACAGGAACTGTTGTTGGGCATTGTACCCATTCTTTCCGTACCCATTTCGGGCGTCCAGATCCGAAGCGTGTGGTTTGCAGAGGGTGTGTTCTGCGGAAGGGGCCCAGGGACACACAAATAAAACACAAGTCCTAGGATTCCCCATGTCTTCCACCGTTTTCTGGAGTCTCGTCTCCCCCCCCCGCTTCCCACATGTTCTCCATCTTTGTCCTGTGGATCGACGACTCATTTGAGCAGGGACCGGCCGTCCCGGCAGTTCTATAGTCCTACCACGAAATGTTCTTAGAACACAAAAATATTCTCATAAGAAAAACAAGGTTCTTAGACCATAAGCCCGATGTGTCAAAACAGAACAGTCTGCGCCAGAGATGTTCTAAGAACATTTCGTGGGAACCGCAAACAGGTTCCTAGAGCACTGCTTGGCGGGGCTATAGGCGAGCCAGGACGCTTCGCCACTGCTTGACTCATGGTGTCTCTGTGCGTCTTCCCTTTGGAGTCCCGAAACGGTGCTGTGACGGACCGTGCGGTGACCTCGAAATCCCCCAAGACCTCACCGCACGGTCCGTCACCGCACGGTCTTGGGACCCCGGAGGCCCCTGTCGCCCGAGACGTCCTCGGAGAACGACCCGAGTCCCAAAACCGTGCGGTGACCCCGAATCCCCACCGACTCACCGCACGGTGTGGTCACTGCCCCGTTTGGGGGCCCCCGATTCCCCTCCTGGTCTGCAGCCCGGCGCCCCGGGGGGGGGCCCCCGGCAGAGGGGGCGGGCGAGGGCCTCGGCGGAGCTGCTCCGCCGCGCCGCGCCGACGGGGGCCCCACGAGGACCGCGCCGCGCTGCCCAGCCCCCCCCCCCCCCCGCGCCCACGGCAGACCACACCTCGGGCTGGCCATCGCTCGGACGTCCATTTCCTGTGTTTTTTTCGGTTTCGTGCGTGGTTTTTTTCGCGAAATGATCAAGGATGCTCCTCGATGGTCCTCGCCAAGGGAAAAATGCACACGTCCGAGCGATGCCAAGCGCGGGTACAGCCGGACCGAGGCCCAGAGGAACATCCCTGAAGTCGGGGATCTCATGCCCCGGGCCACTCCGGGCCCGGTGCACCCTCCCCGAACCGACCTCGATCCCATACCTCGGTCCGACGGGGGAGGAGGAGGAGGAGGAGCAGGAGGAGGAGGAGAAAAAGGAGGATGAGGAGGAGAAATGAGGAAGAGGAGGAGGAGGAGGAAAAGGAGGAGGAGAAGGAGGAGGAGGCCGTGGGAGAAGGAGGACGAGCAGGAGGGGGAGGAGGAGGAGGAGGATGAGGCCGTGGGAAAAGGAGCACGAGCAGGAGGAGGAGGAGGAGGAGGAGGAGGAGGAGGAGGAAGAGGCCGTGGTAGTCGCCGAATGCCTGCGTTTCCTCGGCGCGAGGGGCCCCTCGGCGCAGGGCGCCCCACGCGCGCCGCGGGCGCTCGGCGCGGGCGCGGCGCCCGGCAGGCCTGGCGCGGGGCAGCGCTCGACGGCGCGGCGGCCACCGCGCGCGCGCGCGCCGCGGCCAGCTGCGGCCACGCGGGCGCGGCCTGAGCCAAACTGGCTGTCGACAGGACGCTGGCGGCGCGAACAGGGGGGTCAGAGGGGGAGCAGGGGGGAAGGCCTCTCAGAGGGAGGCGGCTTCGCAGAAGGCCTGGGCCTCACGCCAGTGGACAGGGTCCGCGCCTTCTCGGGCCCGCGGCCTGAGTGCGGCGCGAACAGGGGCGTAGGGGGGGAGGGGGTAAGGCTTCTTAGAAGGAGGCTGCTTCGTAGAAGGCACGGGCCTCACATCTATGGACACGGCCCCGGGCACAGAGCCCACTCGCGAGGCTCAGCGTCCTGTCGACAGCCAGTTTGGCCGGAGCCAAACTGGCTGTCTACCGGACGTTGGCGGCGCGAACATTGAGCAGGGACCGACGGTCCCGGCATTCCTGTAGGCCTAGCACGACATGCTCTTTGAACCCACAATTGCTCGAATGACAAAGACAATGAATGCTCTTAGAGCATGAACCCAATGTGTGAAAACAAAGCAGCCTCGGCCATACATGTTTTAAGAACATTTCGCGCAGACCACAAAAGGTTATCAGAACAATCTTTGGTGGGCCCAGCGGCAGGCCAGGACGCTTCGCCACTGCTTGAGAACCGGGGGGCACGGGGGAGGGGGGGGGGGGCCAAGGCTTCTCAAGAAGAGGCGGCCTCGTGGAAGGCGTGGGCCTCACGCCCATGGGCAGGGCCCGCGCCTTCTGGGAGGCAGGGTGCCTCTGGAGAGTCCCCCCCCCCCTCCCCTCCGCCCCCCCACTGCGCGTCGCCGAGGCCTGCCGGGGGGGGCTGGGGCGAAGGAAGGCCTCCGCGCCTCGCCCACCCCGCGGAGCGCGGGCCGCGCGATCCCCTTCGCGCCCTCGTGCCCGCCGCCCCCCCCCCCGAACGGGCGGGAGGAGGAGGATTTCCAGGATTTCCGCCTTCACGTAGTGAAAAAGGAGGAGGAGGAGGAGGAGGAGGAGGAGGAGGAGGAGGAGGAGGAGGAGGAGGAGGAGGAGGAGGAGGAGAGGAGGAGGAGGAGGAGGAGGAGGAGGAGGAGGACCCCGCCCCGAAAGCGCCCCGAGCGCGCAGCGCGGCTCCCTCCGCTCCCTCGTGGTGCCCCCCCCGGGCGGGGGGGGGCCACGGCGGGGGCATCTGGACCGACGCTGCGCCGGAGCCGGGAACCTCGAGCTGGTCCTGCGTCTGCCCCCTGCTGCCCAGACGGGGGGGGGGGGCACGCTGTCCGCGCGGCCGTCCCTCTCGGCGCACTGGCCGGCGGCTGACGCTCCGGCTCCTTGCTGCACTGTGATTCCGCGGACGCTCCGCGCGCGGAGCAGACGTCTCTCCGCAGGCACTGCCGGCCCTCTTGGCGTAGATGGTCTACGGCACAGCCCCTTGTCCCGAACGCCTCGAACGCTTCTTCCTTGCTGTGGCCACTCCTATCCCATCCTCTTTGACACGCTCGGAATGGGAACGGGTACGGTGCCCAACCCAAACCGACGCTAAACCAGCGCTTACCATCGATCACCAGACGCCAGCGGACGCATATGCACTTGTAAAGCAAAAGACGGCGCTGCGAGGACGCACCAGGCTCCCACGATGTTGCTGCTGAGGGATCTGCGATTCATCTGCGTCTCCAGTCTTCTCGCAACCATTCCGCTCGTAGCTTTGGACGCCCGAAATGGGTACGGACAGAATTGGTACAATGCCCAACAACAAATGTTGTCCCAAACCAACAGCGGCCGCTGTTGGGTAGGCGACCTTCTGGCTCGAATGGACACAGACCGCGGCGACGCGGACAGCGAGCCCTGTCCAAGATGAACAAGATCCGCTGTTGGGCATCGTACCCATTCTTTCCGTGCCCATCTCGTTCGTGCAGAGTCTCAATTCTTCCCGCAGCCATTCCGCTCGTAGCGACCCCTGCCCTCCCGCCTCCCGCCTCTGACTCCTCGAGCGTACCCAAGGGGGACAACATCCGATGATCTGAACCACGGTCACGAGGAGCGCCTGGCCTCGCGATGGCGGGGCGGGCGACCTGATGGCGAACAGCACGCAAACCGGCTCGACACGCCCCCGCCTCCTGCTCACCGCCTCGGCCTGCAGCCGCCCTCCGCTCACCGCCTCGGCCTGCAGCCGCCGTGCCGCCGCAGGGAAAACGCTGCGTCGGGTGAGAAGGGCTCCTCTTTTTCTGGCCACGGCGAGCCCCGGCCACGAGCGCGGGCTCCCCGACCCAGCTACGGGGAACGACGCGCTCCTCCTCCTCCTCCTCCTCCTCCTCCTCCTCCTCCTCCTCCTCCTCCTCCTCCTGCTCGTGCTCCTCCTCCCACGGCCTCCTCCTCCTCCTCCTCCTCCTCCTCCTCCTCCTCCTGCTCGCGCTCCTCCTCCCACGGCCTCATCCTCCTCCTTCTTCTCCTCCTCCTGCTCGTGCTCCTCCTCCCACGGCCTCCTCCTCCTCCTCCTCCTGAGCCCAAGAGTGGTCCTTCTTTTCACGCCTCGACTGTAAAGAACCCGCCCACCGCTCCTCTCGGCGGCGAGCCCCAGGGGGGGGAAATGGAAGGGGCGGGCCCTCTCGGAAAGCTCGGAAGCTCCCCGGCCTTCGGAGAAGTTTCTGTTTTGCGGTGTCCTTCTGTTGCCGCCATCGTACTCAAGGACCACATCCCGGGTCGGCAGCTGCACGGGGGCTGCTGAAGCTGGTCCGACAAGTGCATGCTGCTGTCAAACCAGTTCTGCGCACCCGCCCAGGCAGCCCAAAAGCTGGCTGCCCTGGGAGCGCGAAGCGCAGGCCAGCAGATCGGAGCACTGCCGGCACTGCTGTTCTTCAGAGAGGCGCCGCCTGCTGTGGGCGGGCTGACGCCGAGGCTATAACATTCGAGCACCCAGAACAGTATCGAAACAGTGTCGAACGAGTATCGCCTCCCATGGCACGGCACGTGAACACCCTCCAAGTTGGGCACCTTTTTGGTGTTCGAAAGTTCTTGCTGGTGATCAAGGCTACAGCCGGTTGGAACATCATGACGCTTTCCCCGAAGACACAGGAAACCTCTCAGGAAGGCGCGAGGGCTTCCGGGACCTTCTGAGAGGGTCTCCTCCTTCTCACTTAGGGGAACGAGCAATGCCATAAACATGAAAACTCGGAGGTCCGCGCGGATTTCTCGGATCGGCGCTGGGGGCCCCCTGGCGGCGCCTCCGGCGCCGCCCCTGGCGCGCTCCGCGCGCCAAGGAGGGGGGTCCAGCGCGGATCCAAGAAATCCGCGCGGACCTCAGAGTTTTTATGTTTACCTCATTCTTCGTCCCCTATCACTCCCCCCCCCTGGCAGGCTAGTTGGCCTCCAATGAGAAGAAATCGGATCCCATTCCAAGCCGAATCGGATCGGAATCGGATGCCATCGAAGTCCAGTTGAATCGAATCGAAGAAATCGAACCGAGCCCTGCAAGGTGGTGGTATTTTGCCGCAGGCAGCTGGCGATCTCGGCAGGCCGCGTTGTGATTGATTGTGTGACGACTGTACGACGACATGTGTTACTACTGTAGGGGCCCGTCCACGAGAAGACTCCCACGAGAAGCCCAACCCTGAGACCCCAGGACGTGCAGTGGTGTTTGGTGTGTGGGCGTCGCGCTTTCCATAGCAAAACTGTCGAAACCCAGGAAACCCAGGGCCTCCTCCTTCTCCTGAGGGGCAACGATAGGGGGGGATAGGCATAGGGGGGGACGCATCGACCCCCAATCGCCGATTGATCGCCAGTATGGGCCCGATAGCCCCAGCCTGCCCAGGAACGTGCGGATTCACCATCGGGGGCCTGTCGCCGATCTATCGACGATGTATCGCCCATTCGAGGTCGATGCATCTTCCTGGGCGGGTTGGGGCTATCGAGCCCCTATCGGCGATCAATGGGCGATTGGGGGTGGAAGTGAGTATCGTTTAACCGACCCTCATGCCCAGCGGCGTGGCCTGGGCCCCACTCGCCGATTTGCCCCCCTAGATGGGGATATATAGGTCGCTCCCTCCGGCTTTCGAGGGGTGTATCCCCAACTGGGGGTGTAGCTTGGTATGGGGTCTCGAAGGGGATGAGCATGGGGATGGGGATCGGTTAAACGAAACTGACACAGGGCCTCCTCCTCCCTTCCCTTTCCCCCCCCCAGGAACGTGCGGATTCACTATCGGGGGCCTATCGCCGATCTATCGGCGATGTATCTGAAGGGGCCCTGGGACACAAATAAATACACACAAATAACAAGATTCCCCATATTCTCCTGTATTTTCTGGGTTTTTGTCTTCCCCCCCACTTCCCATATTTTCCCATATTCTCTGGGGAATGGACGATTCATTGTGTCTGTGTGAATCTTTCCCTCCTCAGTATCGCCCCTTCGAGGTCGATGCGTCCGCCCCCTCTGCCTGTCCCCCCTTCTCGTTGCCCCCGCAGAGTCCCCGGCGACGCGCGGCTTCGGACAACCATCACGCGGCTGGCAAACCGCCGAGAACCGACGAAAACGTCCGAACACCTCGAACCTCGAACCCGAACCTCGAACCCTCCCTCGCCGCCGAATCCCCGCCGAGTCCCCCTCCTTCTCCCCTCCCTTCGCCCCTCCCCCCCGCCGCGCCGCCGAGCTCGTGCCGGAGGCCGTCAATCTTTGCGCGCGGCCGCGACCCTGGCGTGGGCCCCTTCCCCTGGGCCCCCCCCAGGGGCTCGGCGCACGCGCCCCCTGGATGGGGTCGGAGCAGATTGGGTCGGAGGATCGCGTCGCATCGATGCATCGCCGAAGCATCGCCGATGTATCGGCGATGCATCGGCGACGTCGACGTGGAGCAAATCGGGCCCTACGTCGAGCCGCATCGGCGATGCATCGGCCATGCGCCGCGATCCTCCGACCCCATCTACAGGGCATTTTTTAAAACATGGGACTTTTAAAAATATAGGATTTTTATCACATGCCTAATTCGTGAATGAATTTATGCATGAACTCACCGTTGTTTCTAATACTAAATCCCTGCTTTTTTAATACACGATGCGCACGCGGAGCATGTATTCAAAACTGCCCTGTACTCCAACCCCATCTGGGAGGCCTACATCGGCGCGCGCGCCCCCCCGTTCCGGGCACACGGCAGAGCGGCTCTCAGACTTGTGTCGGGCGTGCCCTCCTGCAGGAGGAGGATTCAAACATAGGCAAAACATGCTCAGGGGGCGATGTTTAGACACCATGTTTGACTATTTGGGGGCATGTTTTGGCTATCTTTTTGTTTTAGAGCAGGTCGGGCATGTCGCCCTACAGGCAGAGTTTGGACAATCAATACACAAACATAAGCATATTCCAAAATGGCCAACACATCATCAAAACATCGTCCCCATATCATTTGTGTGTTTGACTTGCTTTGTGCATATTCCTTCTGTAGAAGGACGCGCCCGACTTGAATTTAGAAGAAGGGACAACGCCATACACATGAACTGTTGGCGCCCCGCGCGGACTTCTTGGATCTGCAGACCCCCCTCCCTGGCGCGCGCCGCGCGCCACGGCTGGCGCCGGAGGCGCCGCCCTGGGAGGCCCCCGGGCGCGGATCCAAGAACTCCGCGCGGAGCGCCAAAGTGCATGTCTATGGCGCTCTGCCTTCCCCGACGGTAGCACGGTCTACAGACAGTGCTGCTAAATCCGTGGCTGGCAAAGCCGTGGCTGCTGAAACGGTCTTCCCGGAAGAAACAAAAACCTAATCTCCATAAAAAAAAACTCAACGCGCTAAACAGTAAACGGGCTGCTCCCCAGAAGGAACAAACAACAATTTCCCGGAGCTCCGTTTTGGTAGCCACGGGTTTGCCAGCCTTCGCCTGGCTTCTGAACTGTAGATCCGTGGATCTGGCAAGCGGGCGCGGTGGGGAAGCAAGCGGCCCCCCTCGCTGCCCGCCGATCCTCTCCCCCATCTGCGGCTGCCGCGGCTGCCACTGCCGCTGCCGCGCTCGTGTGCCCCCCTCGTCCTGCCCAAGGCCCGAGAGCACAGTCTCGGCGCCCTCCCCGAGGACACAAGTAAAAGCACCTCCCAGGAGCGCAGCGAAGCTCCTGAAGCGTCCAGAATCGAAAATTCCTGAGCACGCGTGTGGTAGCGCCACCCCCGCTTCACGCGGCACTCTTCCACGTCCGAATGCTCTTCCCCCTCCCCCTCCCTCTGCGCCACCGCCCTCGTCCTATTTTCCCCCTCGTGCACGCCGGCCAGTTAGCCACTCGGCTGCCCCGAACTGCCGCACGCTGGAGCGGACCGCCTCTGCCTCTGGCCATCGCTCGGACGTCCATTTCCTGTGCTTTTTGTCGGTTTCGTGCGTGGTTTTTTCGCGAAATGATCAAGGATGCTCCTCGATGGTCCTCGCCGAAGGAAAAATGCACACGTCCGAGCGATGCCAAAGCCTTGAAGCCTTGCCGCCGACGGAAGAGAAATTAGCGCCAGCGTGTGCGCTTGTCCGCCGGGGCCCTCCACTGCGACGTGGGCGGCGCAATGAGGGCCGACACAAGCTGCGCGCTGTCGGCGAAACCGGACGGGGGAAGCCCAAGCTTTGGCCAACACACACACACATTGAAGATCATCGGCAGAAGTATGATCCAACGGGTATGCTTGCACCCAGGGATGCCCAATTCGTCCACGTCCACATCTGCTCCTCCCATCTCTACAAATACCACCCCACTGCCGAGCAACAACGCTCGCGGCGCGCATCCCGCTTTGCCCAGGATGGGCTCACCAGAGTCACCATCAGACCGTGCCCAACGTCACCGTACATGACGCCGAACAGGAATGGGAAGGTGACAACAGTGAAGAGCGCCGGGTTGGCCTCGGGTGCATCGGTGGCGGGTCCAACATCCAATCATGCAATGAGCTTAAACACTTCATTACAACAAAAACTGATGCTGAAACTTCTCAACCGTGTTCGCGCGAACACGCATCCGCGCGAGCTCCGTGCCACTGCAACGAGGAAGCTGAAGAGGTCCGAAGCCGCGCTCCCATTCCGTTCGGATGCCTGTTGCAGCTGTTTGGTATTTAGGGTGCCTGCTTTTTGTCCGAAGGGCGTCTGACCCTCCCACCTCGTTAACTCGTCTGAGAGTTCGCCCACCTCCCCTGAGCTGTTCTCTCTGGCGCCGTGCACAGCCTCAATATGGCCCCGAGGTAGCCAAGCAATGCCCCAGGACGGGTCTGACCCAACAGCCAAGGCCAAGATGCCGCAAGATCTAAGACTGGCCCAACATGGCTGTAAGATCCCCGACCTCACTGCCAAGGCCCACGAAAGCCCACAAGAGGTCCCTGCGAGCAAAAGCTCGCAATGCGCATTGCGGGGCACAAACATGGGAAAGCCGTGGGAGCATGTGTTCAGTGCGTCTTGCTCGCGATATACTTGGTCTGTTTAGCCCTGGCCGTGGACAGCGTCGAGGACCCAAAGACAGCATCAAGGACAGATGCCCCTCACAAGCTTCCGAAGCAGAAGGTGCTCCGAAGGGCCCAGGGGTGCCCGAGACTCTTGTCGGACGAACTGGGGGATTCGGCGGTGGACAAACCTCCCTCTAGTAAACCTCCCCTTAGTGAAAACGGCCTGGGACCGAAACCGACGGACCCGGACCCGCAAAAACGACGGCCGCGGCGCCCTCTCGCGAACCGAGAACGGCCAATTCACGAATCGACGTGTGGGTAGGAGGTCTATCCAACGATGGGCTCACGCATACATTTCTTCATAACTTAATCATGTATTAAACATCCTATCTGGTTCAAAATCCTATGTATTAAAAACTGCCCTGTAAGGGGGGGGAAGCAGCGAAGCAGCTCACGCCGTTGACTTCCCTGTCGCCTCCCCCCCCCCGCGCTGGGGGGCGCCAGTGTGTGGAGGAAGGCGCCCTCTCGCGGACAGAAAATTCACTGATCGACGTGTCAGGGTAGGAGGTCTATCAAACTCGGAGGGATTGAGTCAAGGGGGGAAGCAGCGAAGCAGCTCACGCCGTCGATATTCCTGGCGCCCGCCCCCCCCCCGCGCGGGGGGGGCGCCAGGAAAGTCTGGGGTTACTTTTTATCTTCCGTCGAAAATCCCCCGGCTGTAGGGGGACACGCCCGACAGAAAGTTCAAGGGGGGGAAGCAGCGAAGCAGCTCGCGCCGCTGCCTTCCCCGGCGCCTCCTGACTGACTACCTACCAGACCACCCCAACCCAACCCGAAGACCCGAATTTCGGGTTGGGGGGGGTAAGGGTTCCATATGTGTTTTTTCGATATTTCCCGGACCCCCCCCCACTGGAAATCGAGGGTAAATCTGAGCCTTCGGGTTGGGTTGGGGTGGTTTGGTGGGTGGTGACCTCCCCCCGCGCTGGGGGGGCGCGCCAGTGTGCGTGTGCGTGGAGAGGCAAAAGCCCGGCGGCGGGGCCGCGCCGCCAGCTGCCAGGCCCGGCCGCAGATTCTTCGCCCGGGGCCCTGGGGCACACACAGAGGAATGCACACAAAGCAAACAGGACCCCCCCTAGAGTTCCTCGTATTTTCGGGGTTTTCGTCTCCCCCCCCCCAGACTTCCCATCTGTTCCATCTTTTCTGGGTGTTCGTCTTCCCCCCTATTTTCTCCTACGTGCAGGGTTTTCGTCATCCCCCCCAAACTTCCCATATTTTCCCCCTATTTTCGGGAGAGTCGACGCTTCATCGTGTCTGTGTTTTTTTCCCTCCTGAGATGTCGCCTCCCCCCAGGAGAGGCTCCGGTGGCCCAAGGCGGCCCAGGGAGGCCCTGCATCGCCCATGGCAATCTCCTCGACGAGGGCCGCCAGATGCGCCGGGAGGGCATCGGGAAAGCTTGATCGAAATGCTGCGCCCACGATGGTCCCGGGATCCCAGAGGCGCCCGTCCTCCGGATGCATCCAAAAGTCCCAGCGAAGGGTGCAGGACGCCACAAATCAGCCCCCTAAATTCCCCAACAAGTTTGCTCGAGGCAACACTACAACCCATGTGACGTCCCAGCTACACCATGCTAAAATATCGTATCGTTGCTTCCAAGACGTCCCCAGTACGGTTCCACGGGGCCTGTTCGCAAGCGCTGGGTAGGGCTAGCCAACATACGAACACTTGGATGCTGCCTTGGCACGCTGGTGAAGTATGCCGCAGGCAGCTGGATACGTGAAGCAGGACTTACGACTCGGTGCAGAACCACGGTGGCTCTCGCTCCCCGGAGCTGCCGAGCCAGAACCAAGACCAGGCAGAGTGCTGAAGCCATCCATGGGGCTCCAGCGGACGGAGCACACCCATCCAGCGACACGAGACGACTCGGGATGTCACCGCCGAAGCAGGGCTGGCGAGAGAGAGAGAGAGAACGAACTGGACCGCCCGGGCCTCTTGGTACCGCGGCAGGCCGTACGTGTCCACCATCTCCTGGGGGCGTGAGCCCTCGCCATCGTGCGTTAACGGACAGGAGCGACGAGTAGTTGGTAGCACAACGCAGACGCGCGTATCGGTCGCTGGCCAATAGTACGTGCACGCAGGAATGCCGACTGTCACTCTGGGCAGGGAGGGGTGAAGATAACATTGCCAAGGGTAGCCCGTCGTCGAAACCCCATCGTCGGAGGCAGGGAGTTACAAATCTTCATGTCCGCCGTTGCCCGCAGGGCACCTACGCCTAACGATTGCTTCGAAAGGCGCGACTATCCAGAAGATGTTTGCTTTGGGAGCTGGCAGTACCTAGGGCCCATAACTCCCCAACTGACACACCATGCCGCGAAGGCCATACATCCACTCACTCATTCGTGTCCTCCTCGCCTCCTCGTTTCGTCGTCTGCGCCTCCACCTCCTCGACGCATGTTCATATTATCTTCGTCCTCCTCGTTTCCTCCTCCTCCTCGTTTCCTCTTCCTCCTGCTCCTCCTCTTCATCGCCTCTCCATCTTAGCTCTTCCTCCCCCTCATCCACCTCCTCTCCTCCCCCCGCCTCCGCCTCCTTCTCCTCCCGCTCCTCCCCCTTTTCCCCTGGCTCCTCTGCCATCCTCCTCCTCCTCCTGCCCCCCCCCTTCCAGGCTTCTCCTCCGCATGGCCCTTCCTCGTGGCCCGCTGGTCTGCCTCTGGCTCCTCCCGCTGCCCCCCCCTCTCTCTCTCTCTCTCTCTCTCTCTCTCTCTCTCTCTCCCTGTCGAACGCAGCCCTCCTGGGTCGCGCCTACCCGCCCTATCGCTCCAGCCCCCCCCCCCTCTGCTGAAAGACTCCCGTGAACTCGATCTTCTGGATGTACGTGGGCAGATGATGATGATGATGATGATGATGATGATGATGATGATGATGATGATGATGATGATGATGATGATGATGATGATGATGATGATGATGCTGATGCTGATGATGATGATGATGCTGATGCTGATGCTGATGCTGATGCTGATGCTGATGATGATGATGATGAGGAGGAGGTAAGAAGGAGGGTAAGGAGGGTAAGGAGGAGGAGGAGGAGGGTAAGGAGGAGGGTAAGGAGGAGGAGGAGGAGGAGGAGGAGGAGGAGGGTAAGGAGGAGGAGGAGGACGAGAAGGAGGAGGAAGGAGGAGGAGGAGGAGGAGGAGGAGAAGGAGGAGGAGGAGGCCGCCCCCTCCTGAAAGACTGCCGTGAACTCGTTCTTCTGGATGTACGTGGGCGGGTGCTTCCTGAGAGGCGGGCGCGCGACGCCCCCCCCCGAGACGCACGGGGGGGCTCCGAGAGGGAGGGCGGCCTCTCAGAGAGAGAGGCCCGCCCCTCGGCATAGCCGGGCAGAGCGCCGAGAGGCGCGGGCGGCAGGCAGCTCCGTCGCACGCACGTGTTTTGTTGTTTCGGCGGCGGCCAGGCATAAGATCTGCTCCAGCCACCTCTTTTCGCTGAGGAGGCAAGGCAAGGCAAGGCAACTCTGGGGTGCCATCGCATGTGCCTGCTCACATACAATTGGGAGACAAAACTAGCACCTGAGTGGCATCAGTGGTGCAGCTTCCCACAGCGGTCGGCGCTGCAGGTGGAACTCACACGGGCCTCGCTGAGGAGGAGGAGGAGGAGGAGGAAGAGGAGGAGCTGCGCTTGGCGATCGGGGCGACCGATGTGCGCATTGGCCGGCGCGCGCAGGAGGGGAGGATGAGAACTGAGGAAACGTAGGAGGACGGAAGGGGGGGTGGGAGGAGGAGGAAGAGGAGGAGGAGGAGGA